GGGGGGGGAATCAGGAAAAAAGTCTCTCTGAGTCCCCAGAAGCCCCTCTACTACACAGGGATTAGCTCCTTGCTCCTTTTTTTTTTTTCTTTCCCAGGCTGAATATGAAAACCCTTCTCCAGCCCATGCAAGACTGTGCGCAGAGTCACAACGCTTGCCTGTTCCTTCAAGATAGGCTAAACCTCTCTGTCCCCCTCAGCTTGTGCAAACTATATATCAGTGTATCTGTATTTTAATGCTTTTATTTTCATTTCACACTTTCACAAAAGCAACTCCGTTATTTATTCTGCTCTAGCAGAAAATGAGGACAGCAAGGTCAAATTTTTACCTGCCTCTCTCATTGCATCAGTCTACAGCACCATGCAGCTCTAAAATAATCTTCCCCTCAAAACAGTGTTTTAAAGACTGAGAAGTTACCTGAAGTTTAGCTGATAATTGAAAAGCAATACACTTTGCTCTGTCTCTGGGATAACTGATAACACAAAGTGGCATGGGTAACCCACAGTGACTGCCTGAGAGATGGATTTTGCCTGATCATTAGGGTGACCCTAGGGAAATTAGGTGTCTTCGACTTCAGTAAAATGCTTTTGGTTAATGTTTATGCATGAAACAAGCTTTAGGAAAACGGCTCTTCCCTGTGACTGATAAACTCTTACAGAATGTTTCTTCAGTTTTGTCACTGCGATACCTGCCTGATTCACAAGATGGTACTGTGCCTCTCATCACTTGGTATTCACTTCGATGAAGCGCCCATCTGATTCCAGCCAGGATCTCTTCCATCTACAGTTCCTCAGTTTCACTCAGGTCAAGTACACTTCATATTTCCTGGGCCAATACGCTATCAAAAAACTGACCACTGGAACCCAGTCCCACACACAATTCACCTGGGAAGCAACTCTAGACCAGGCAGCAAAAACATGCTAGCACCCACCACCAGGAAGTATTCCCAGCCCTGAGGCTCCAGTAACATGGTATTCAAACTGTGGCTAAGGCCAACTTCTGTGAAAAACTGTCATAAAGATCTTTGCTGGATTCACCAAATACTGGTGGGGTCCTTGTGCTTACTGAGCTCTGGAGGCGTTTTGACAAGGATGTCACTCCTCAGCAGGCAGAACACATTGATGTGTTGTCCACACTTGGTGATGCTGCAGGTGCACGTATATGCCCCAGCACCTGAAGCCAGACAATTTTCCCTTCATATTATTTCAGGGATACTGGTCCTCATAAGTGTGAGAGAGTAGGCCTACATCCATCCAGTTAGTAATGTGAGAATGCGTCAGTGCTGTCTCACATCCCATCCCTTCCCAGAGGTGACCTTTGGCTCTATCAGCCATCAAAACAAAAACCTTACACAACTAATCAGCCCTATTAACACAAGAACCAATATGACCCTAAATGAAAGGCTGCCTCAGCTTTAGAAGTTTAAGGCTCAGGAGGCAGATCAGCAAGCTAATGGGAAGAATTCCAAAATCTCCCAAATGTAGCACCTGGAAGAACAGGTTGAGGATTCACAGCAGCGTTCCACAATGCTGCAAGTCTGTCTGTCTGAGATTGGAGCATATCTGGAGGGAATAGTGCAGTCTTTTCATTGAGGTGCACACCAAAAAAAAGACAGGTCCTTTCCAAGAACTGCTCACTGTGCTTTCCTTGGTCATGAAACAGCTTCAGGCCCTTCAGCCCTGGTGATCAGAATAATCACTTGCAGCATTTGTGGAGTTTAAGCGCAACAACCGCCCCAGTAAGTATCAGAAATATTGTACAGCCATTAAAAAACATACCTGCTTAACTGTGACATACCCCTTGTTACAGTCTGCTTTTAACTGAACTGGAAAGAAAGAACAAAGTGTCGGGCACGGCTTCACACCCAGCAAAATTTGCTGTCCTCCCCTTGCAGAAAACACTCCTGTATTTTAAGATCTGCTACCTTCTGAAGCTGATCTCTGTGAATGTAAGCAAAGAATACTCCTGCCCCATCCTGTTCCCAAGACCACAGGTAAAACAAAACCAACCTATACCCAGAGCCACACCTGAGTATTTCACATCATGGATCAGCAAAATTACTTCAGAATAAAGGTGAAATCTGTGGAAATCTTCTACACATTCTTGCTGCTCTCACCACCCCTCTGTGACAAGGCATGGAGCTGAACTGCGTCCAGATGGAAGAAACATAAGGCAGGGAAGATGTGAAGGGGAGTATTTTTATATATTCTCCCAGTGCACCTATAGAATAACAAGTCATACTAAAAATCAGTTGGTGGAAGATAAGGGAGATGAAGTGCCACTCACAAAGCAAGAGTGCAGGCACTGATGATGACTGCAGGCCTGAGCACTCATGTTAAGGTTCAACACCTTCGTTTACAAAGCTGAACCTCCTGTTATTAGGAGTTTCCTCTGATTTTTTAGGACCCAGAGATCTCCACGAGCGCTTATAAAAAAAAAAAAAGCTTGATGACTTCAAGAATCGAGCAACACTACAGACCATGCAGAGAAAGGAGACCACAAGCCAGTGACTGCAGAAGCAATCCTAAGGAAAGCCTGCTTTGACTTTGAGGAAAAACCACAATTTCCCATTTAGACCCTGCTCAAAGCAGGCTTACAAATTAAGCCAAAACATTGGTCCATTAGTTTCACTGTAATTTAGCCAAACAGAAGAACGATGTTTACTGATAAATATGAGTGCTGTACTTGTATCTCGCACTTTTCACAGTTTGGTTGCTGCTGCATGTAGAAAGCGGGATCTGAACTAAACCTTACCTTGCTGCCGTGAACACTTCCTATCCGTTATCCCAGTCTCCGGGCCACGCCCAATTACAACTGCTTCCAAGTGTGGCAGTTTCATCCGCTGATTGCATTTCTCTTTCCCCACGAGCCAGCACACACGCATCACTGTGCTATAGAGCAAAACAAACAGTATGTTACTAACACGCAGCTTCCCAATGGGTCACTTTCCTGTGGAGCAGGGTCCGGGAATTCCGCTGCCACCCCATTCTGCACCCCAGTCCCTTCTGCTAACTGGGTTCGTATTTCTGAAATTCAAGGCAAAGCACACAGCATTAACACTAGCATAATCTAAGAGCAAGTTGCTGTCTAAAAGGCAATCCTATTTTCCATCCTTCTACATCACCATACATTCTCACATCCACGGATCACATATAGGAAAAATCAACCGGATCAACAGTTCTACCTCACAGAAAAGCTGACCCACCAAAAAGTGATCGGAGTTGATCTGAGTGATTAATTTACACACCAAAACAACAAAAGTGGCTGAAGACAGACAGGGCAAGAGAGGGGAATAGCTTCATCCAGCAACAGTCTGCAGACAGCGCACACTACAAAACCGGACCCTCAAGTTTACAACAATTTGACCCCGGACAGCAAAGATCCCACACCTCCCCGCCCCGCCCCGGTGCTTGGCGCTAAGCGCTCCCCCTCCCAACTCCGTGGTGAGCTTATTCAGATGCAGAGCAACCCTCCGTCCCCACTGCAACACCAGCACTGGCACACACTCAAAAACGTGCGACGTGGGGTTATGCCCACGCAGCTGCACCTCCCGGTCGGCCTGCTGGACAGGACAGACCCCTTCCACCGCTCGCTACACACC